GTAGAAAAAATATAAACGTTGCTCTTTGTGTTCCATTCTTAATGGAAGTAAGGCAATTCACAATTATGTGTTGTGGCTGGGTTGTTATAGGTCTGCGTGACTCTCGATGTCTTAGGCCTAACTGAATGGAGGAATTACGGTATTCTTCTGTAGCCTGACGATGACTAACTTTAACTGTTGGTCATGTGGTCAACTCAAAGACAGCCTGATGCTTTGTTTCTAGACTATTTGTGGGTGGCTGTTTGTTGTTTCACCTATCAATTTGTGTCGATAAAGTATAATAGGGTAAATCCTGTATAGTGATTTATCCTATATAGTGCTTGCATAAAGCAAGTAGTGCATACACTTGTAGCTGTTATGTATCTTTGTAAGTCATTGTAAACCCTCGTGCACATGCACAAATCCAACCCCCCCATTATTAAAAAAAAAACAGATGGGCTCCCCCAGAGTCCACGGTATAGTTCGAACACTGCTTTAAGCCATTTCAGATCAAATGTCAAAAGACTGGAAATATGGCGATCACTCCACCTTACCAGCGACCATCCCACCTATTTTATTGCTTTTTGTCTATATATATATATATATAGTACTGTGCAACAGTCTTAGGCCACAAGTATTTTCACCAACAAAAAAAATGGTTTAAGCCAGTTATTTCTCTTTTGCTGTAGTGTATCAGTAGGAAATAACAGTTTACCTTTCCAAACATTCCCTTTGCCATTAATTCTAATAATCCAGTGAGATTTTTGTATCCACAAGGAGTCTCACAACAGCCAGTGCTCCACACAGAGATCTGATCTCACCATCATCCAGTCCGTCTGAGATTACATGAAGAATCAGAAAAAACTGAGACAGACTAAATCCAGAAGAACTGTGGCAACGTCTCCAAGACACTTGAAGAAACTTCCTGCAAAGCTACAGTGCTGTGAAAAGTTCTAGGCACTTGTGTAAACATGCTGTAAAGTTTGGATGCTTTCAAAAATAATGTCATAAATAGATTTTATTTATCAATTAACTTCTATTAACTAAATCAAATCAACACTTGGTGTGACCACCCCTTGCTTTTAAAACAGTTTTTGTCCTAGGTGCACTTGCTCATAGTTTTTCAGGTAGCTTTGCAGGTAAGTTTCTTCAAGTGTCTTGGAGATGTTGCCACAGTTTTTCTGGATTTAGTCTGTCTCAGTTTTTTCTGATTCTTCATGTAATTTCAGACGGACTGGATGATGGTGAGATCAGAGCACTGGCTGCTGTCAGACTCCTTGTGGATACAAAAATCTCACTGGATTATTACAATAAATGGCAAAAGGAATGTTTGGAAATGTAAACTGATATTTCCTACTGACACTACTGACAAGACAGAAATAACTGGCTTAAAATCTTTTTTTTGTTGTTGGTGAAAATACTAGTGGCCTAAGATTTTTGCACGGTACTGTATATATATATATATATATATATATATATATATATACATAGGAAGTAGAAACCAGTGTCCAAATCCCTTGAGTCCATCCATGTGTGTATCACTGAGGTGAGCTGGTCTCAGAAAGCGAGAGGTTGTAGAAGAGGAACACACTCTGGTTGGCTGAGAGTTCCTGATTGGGGGTTAATCACATGCTATGCCCACACTAGAACCATGAGGGCCAGAGGAAAAGCAGTGCCCGACAAACCATATCCAAAAATCATGCCTCCAGTTTAGATGCTACCTCAAACCATCATGCAAGTAATAAAAGGAATGTTCCTTTAATGTCACCACTCCAAAAGGGCACGGCAAATATCTGATTAAGTTATTGTTGCTTAAAAAAAACCTTAAAACTCTTGACTTTTTGACATTTTTTGTAGAAATAGCATCTTGTGATGCCTTAGTTACATAATGGCTGTGTCTGCAACCTAAAAACCATTGCATTAGCAGGCAATATATGGAGGTAGGAAGGAATCAAGGCAAATCTGAATCTGAAGATACTAAAATGTCTTCATCTGGTCAGTTTCTGAAAGCAGCATATAGTAGATGTATCCTTCGATGCCTTCCTGCATGCAGTTTGAAAGTTGGTGGAATTTTTTTTTTCTTGTTTAAATGTCTAATTGCATATCAGCTGAGAAGGTATCAAGTATATCAAGTATTGTAGTCATCGCAGGGCTCAACGATAAGGATGGCTGACCTGGGGTCAGTGGCCTGTGATAGGTTTGTCACATAGTAAGAATGTGAAAATAAAGTAAATAATTAAATAATACATGTAAACATTATTCATTTAAAATTAGAAACATAAAATTATTCATGGAAATATACACTACCATCCAAATGTTTGGAGTCTGTAAGATGTTTTAATGTTTTAGAAAGAATTATGCTCACCAAGTCTATTTATTTGATCAAAACAAAATCAGTAAAAACAGTAATATTGTGAAATATTATTGCAATTTAAAATAACTGTTATCTATTTTAATATAGTTTAAAAAGTAATTTATTCCCGTAATGCAAAGCAAAATTTATATCAGTCATTACTCCAGTCTTCAGTGTGACATGATCCTTCAGAAATCATTCTAACATTTCTTATGATTATCAGTGTTGAAAACAGTTGTGTTGCTTAATAGTTTTGTGGAAACCCTGATATTTTTTTCCAGGATTCTTTAATAAATAGAAAGCATTTTTAATAGAAATATTTTGTAACATTATAAATGGTTTTACTGCCAATTTAATGAATCCTATTGAACTATTACTTAAAAAATTACTGACCCCAAACTTTTGAACACTAGTGTAAAATTACACATTTATATGTATATATAGGCAAGTACAAATCAGAACTGAAAAAAATGTGTTGAGCCCAGCATTGAATATTTGCTTGGTCGTCTCTAAAGCTCACTTGAATCTGGTTTAAAACCTTTGATGTGATGTTATTGTGCTTAAAATCCACTTGTTCTGTCTGTTTAGTCATTGACTGACCAGGTAGTAAGGCAGGTGCCTTGTGTTTGGGACACAGCCACAGTGTTAACTAGTAAGCAATCCAGGCTAAATCAGATTACTTGAAAACTATTTGACACCAAACTGTACCCAGACATGTGCAGTGCCGCTTCGTAGTGATTGGTGGCTTTCTGGTCTTGTTGCTCTTCTCTAATGTAGTGTGTTAGTTGGTAAGAGCAGTCAACTTTAGAATGTTCAGAATGGTGACCCTGGCGGAAAATCCAGCATACGACGATAGATGTGTTTTGAAATGTCCCAACTGGTAGGTTCCATGTTGAACAAGAAACAAACCAGATACCAAACCATCTACCATTTCAAACTCATCTACAATCTTATGTTGGATTATGCCCAGATACATGTCCTGGAATTACCTTCTCCGTCTTCATCCGTCTCGATGGCTTCAATGGCTTCGGTGGTTGCTGGAGGGAGAGGAGGGGAGTGTGTTACATCTGAACAAGCCATGCAACAGCAGTAACGCACAGGCAGCAGTAGTGCACAAGCAGCGGCGGGCACCGGGACAACCCCGCGAGACGCATGCATGCCAACCAGACTATGGACCACAGACTTAGACAATCCTGTCAACCATTCGCACTTTGCAAGAGACTTCTCCTGCTTTCCATGCTTCCTGCACTCTAGACACCCTACGGGTCTCTCAGAAACTCACTCTCACCCCAGTTTACCACTGACGGGTAAACCGACCCACTAATGTGTCCATGCTCTGGGGGAACTAAATGAGCAGTACCCCAAAGCTTGGAGTTGTCAGAGGATACAGAAAGAGACAGATGGAGAGACAGGGACAGACATTACAGAGACAGAAGAGGAGGAAAAAAAGAAGCAAGAGAGAGGGAGAGAGAGAGAGAGGAGGAGATAGAGAGAGACAAGAACCAAGAGAGGAACATGGCCACTACTGGATTGCGTGCTCACCACTCTGCAGAGTCTGCTTGCCTCCAGAAAGCACCCCGCTGGGCAGCATGCCGGTAGGGGTCAGGCCCTTCAGGGTCAACACATTCTCACTCTCCTCTCTGCAGGAACAGCATATTAAAATCAGAAACAATCAAACGCACATCACTGATATTACACTACCATTCAAACATTTGGGGTTGATTAGTTTTTGAAAGAAGTCTCTTATGTTCTCCAAGGCTGCATTTATTTGATCAAAATATTGTGAAACATTATTACAATTTAAAATAACTGTTTTCTATTTAAATATACATTTTAAATGTAATTTATTCCTGTGATGGCAAATAGCTGAATTTTTTGCAGCCATTATGCCAGTCTTCTGTGTCACACGATCCTTCAGAAATCATTCTAATATGTGACCCTGGAGCACAAAAGCAGTCTTAAGTCACTGGGTTATATTTGTAGCAATAGCCAAAATACATTGTATGGGTCAACATTATAGATTTTTCTTTTATGCCAAAAATCATTAGGATATTAAGTAAAGATCATGTTCCATGAATATATTTTGTAAATTTCCTACTGTAAATATATTAAAACTTAATTTTTGATTAGTAATATGCATTGCTAAGAACTTCAGTTGGACAACTTTAAAGGAGATTTTCTCAATATTTAGATTTTTTTTGCATCCTCAGATTCCAGATTTTCAAATAGTTGTATCTCAGCCAAATATGGTCCTATCCTAACAAACCATGCATCAACGGAAAGCTTATTTATTCAGCTTTCATATGATTTATAAATCTCAATTTCAAAAAATGGACCCTTATGACTGGTTTTGTGCTCCAGGGTCACATATGCTGATTTGGTGCTCAAGAAACATTTGTTATTATTATCGATGTTGAAAACAGTTGTGCTGCTAATATTTTTGTGGAAATCATGACACATTTATTTTATGATTCTTTGATGAACAGAAAATTCAGCATTTATTTAAAATGAAAATCTTTATAAATTATGAATGTCTTCACTGTCACTTTTGATTATCCTTTTGAATATCCTCCTTGCTGAATTAAAGTATTAATGACCCCAAACGTTTGAATGGTAGTGCACACAGGAAAATGTCATGAGTGATACAAACTTTATATTTAGTACATTTTAAAAACCTAGCAGACTAAACCAGGAGTTTTCAAACTGGGCTCTGTTGAACATTTCAAAGAAGAAAAAGCTAATATTTACTGAAATGTACATTATTAGAGGTTCATTCTACATTCGAAAGGCTGGACAAAACACTTGTGATGTTTTTTTTTATTACTTAACAGCCATAGTTTTAAATAGTAAATAAAAAAGAAAGAAAAAATATTAAATATATGTGGTCATATTTGGCTTCAGTACACTGACAATTTAATGAATGTTTTCTTCATAATCTAACTTTTACTAGTTTTCTCACAGAGTATAAATGGCCATATATATATAAAACAAAAAACAGCTGCCCTTCAATTTTAAGAAAAGCAGTCTCTCAAAGATACTTACTGACATTAATAATCCTCTGCATATAACTTGCAATTTTATGTTACAACCACAAATATCCATAAAGATCCCAGAATTCCATACTATACCTTTGAAATATTTTCTTTAAAATACTTTCCGTACCTTTAAAATAGTTTTTGCATCCCAGTTTTATGTTGCACTGAATATCAGCCATGAATATATTGCTTTTAAGAAGCATCTCCTCTATCCTCTATCTATCATGTCTGATAAGCAAGAATAATATAAGCATAAGCATGCGACCCAGCTGACCGCAGACTGAATGACTCAGCTGGAGGAAGCCCCATTTGTACCTGAGCACGGAGAACATCTTGGCCATCTTCCCAATGGCACGGATCTTGTTCCTAATCACCTCTTTCCGAGCAGCTGCTGCATTGGCTGTGGGCGGAAAGAAAAAATCAAGCAGTCTCAGTCAGTCTCAGTATGACCAGAGGCTAAAACCCCCCAGAAACGTTTATTCTTTTACAGAAATGATCTGTATTGTGTTGGCGGCAGTTTTGGGAGTAACTAACTTAAAGAAGCGACACTACTAAGTGTTTTCAAAGTATTTTCTTCCAAGTTCAAGTTACTATTTCACTCACATTGCCACATTGTGACTTTTTTAACCGGGTATGCTGAGTGATAAGACCCCCCC